TTAATCATAATATATTATAATAATATAATGATTATTCCCTGCCAGCTTCAATTTTTTTCTTTAGCTTTAAGAACTAAACTGGTACCAAATTGCTGTGCTTGTCTGTATTGGAGGCAGCACTGGGCTCCATCTGATGTGCCCTCTGCCTCAGGAGAGGACTGGGGTGGGGACAGGCATGTGGAGGTATTAGAATTTCTCTTGTGGATCAGACCTCTCATCCCATAGCCCATCTCTAATGCTGGGTTCAGAGGAAGGTTTAGGAATCCCCAGGCTTGCCCAACTGGAAAGCGCTGCCCAGAGAAGTCTCTTCCTGACCCCTCTCAGCGGAGGCTTTCTGCCCAGAAGCAGGAGGGTTTCCTGGGGATGTTCTCATCATTCACAGAAATACTTCATCCTCTCCAGATTCCTCATGAGCTCTTGTCCTCGGGACCACATGAAAGAGACTTACACAGTAGCGTTTTATGCAGAGTAAAGTAATTCTTCATTAATTTTCAGCTTATTGCCTTTCACTTTCTTTCCAAATCCTCTTCTTATATCAGAAAATGTGTACAGAACAGTGCAACACATTTTCTGTTGTCATTTACTCTTTTGAAACCTCCCTACTAAACTAGTCCCCAACTTTTCAGCCATTCTTGAGTGTTTTTGAGTGCTTGGGAGATTTAGACTGAATTTAAGCAAAGTCAGGCACCTCTCCCCTGTACCACTGCCTGCAGGGTAAATGCAACCTCAATTTTCAAAGAGAAGAGTGACTCTCCCAGGGGCATTTTGAACATCCTAATAAGCTAAAAGTGGCACTCCTTTAATCACAATTTTGAGGACATGCTCCAGTAAATTAGAGGGTTGGTTTACAGAAGCTGTGATATTTTGTGGCTTCTATACAGTCTTCATCAGAGCATACCCAAGGCTAACTGAGCAGAGCAAGGCACATTTTAATGTGACACATGTGAGAAAAAAAAAATTCCATTTCCTTTGTATTTACAAAGGTCAATGATGGGAGACTTTCCCAGGAGCTCTGCTTAAAAAGATCTCTAAAATTTCTTTCTGCTCCTGAGTGCTCTTGTGGCAAATATTTGCCTTGAGAGTCGCTTGGAGGTGCTGCCCTGTGACTCTGCTGCCAAATGACTCACTGTTACAGTGGGAACACTTCCCTTCTGGCTTATGCTGAGACAGGAGGAAAGAGGGTGGCAGGGAGTAAATTGCAAAAATAAGCTCTTAGTTGCTCTTAGCCCATGTGAGAGACACCCTTAAAAAAAGGAGCAGCTTTCTTCCAATAGGTTGAATCCAACACGTGGGCTAGATAGAGCGCACACGGATCAAGATGCCAAAGGGTTTTGGCTGTGCTCCTGTCTTGGATGGAATCGCCATCCCGTTCCCCTGGGAGTAAATGGTGCTGTGGTTTGCCCTCAACACTGGTGTGTGCACTCCGCGGTAAACTGGAAGCACAAAGCACATGAAGCTGGCACTTTGTGGTAAGCACTAGCCCTTGGCTATGAGCAGAAGTGAGGCACCTCACCTCAGGCTTACACGGGAATAGTAAACTCTTCTGCTCAGAAAGCTGCTTTAGTTAGGCAGAGATTTTCTTGTGCTGGGAACCATGACCTCTGTTCTAGCAGAATTTATTTCTTTTTTCTTATAGGTTCTTCATCATTAAGGAAAGTTTCCTGCTCTACTATGCTGAGAGTGAGAAGAAGAATTTTGAAAGCAATAAATACTTCAATATCCACCCCAAGGTGAGCAGCATTTGCATGGGAGAGGGGGTTATTCTGTTTCTAGTTTCCCCCCTGCCCCACCTTGGGCCCAGCAAATGAGGAAGAGGTAAGTCACAAGCTTCTCACAGATCCAGGGAAGCCCCCAAAAAAGCAAGAATCATGTCAGTACCTCTTCAGGCTCCGTAATGATTCAGCAGGTGCATGACTTCAGTATTTTTTTACCTGACAGTAGATGTGTTCCCTTGCTTTCACAATCTCCTAATCAACTATTGTGGCTATGAGAATACTGTTGGGAAAGCCAGGGGTGGGGTCACAGCTTTGGCTGCTGCTTGTTCCTAACCTGTACTCGCACTTGTAAGTGTTCTCAGCCCCGAGGAGCAGCCTCTGCAGCTCTGCTGCCTGGAGCTCTCCTGGGGGGAGTCTGCTCTGAGTCTGCTTTTATCCTCTATCGTCACTGGAGGCTGATGGAGCACACATGCTTCCAAAGGTGCTGACTTCACCCGGCCTGGTGAAAGCAGGCCACCCATCCATCCCACATGTTGACCTACTAGTGGTGGCTGTAATGGATGCACAGCCTCTCTCAGGGTACCACACTGTGAATCTGCAACGTCTGCCTGTGTTGGGAGATCACCTTCTCCTTGACAAGAGCTCCCTCTTCCTTGTTCTTGCTAGCAGCCTTCTCTCCAAGTCAGATGCAGGAGAGGCATCTTCACCCCCTTTCAGATATCAGCTGGAGGGCTCCTGGTAGTGATGGGAGTCCCTCTGCTCCTCAGGAGCTGTGTGTATTGCCCCTCCTTGGATAGCCAAGGCAGGGCAGGGGCCCACAATGACCAAGGGTGAAAGTTCAGCTCCTGGTTAGTTAATAGTTATACTTGATTCTGCTGACTGATTGGAGTGCTCTGCTTCGTCCCCAGGGTGTCATACCCCTGGGAGGCTGCATTGTGGAGCCCAAAGAAGAGCCCAACATGCCTTATGCCATAAAGATCTCTCATGAAGACTTCCATGTAAGTAGACTTCTTTTCTTCTCAACAAAACCCAAGCACCACACAACATTTTACTGATGCTGGACTGTCAGCCTTTCCCACCCCACCAGGGTGTGCCTGCCTTCTCTGGGCAGACTGTCCTGAGAGAGGGGTGGCTTAGCATCCGACATCCCCTCAAAGCTTTACTGCTGCTCCTGCCTGGAGAGCCAACAAGGAAACTTGCTCTTTCTGACAGCAGGTCTTACGATACTAGCAAACCAGCAGTCGGATATTCGGGAGCCCCAGAGCTCATGTATCATTTTATTCCTACTATGACTGCTTTCCATGTGCATCTCTTTCCAATGTGTCTGGGTTCTATTTGCTCCTGTGCGATGCCTCCCGTGGAGACGCAAGCCTGCGGTGGGCTCTCCTCCCGCCATAGCTGTGCTAGCTGCGTCCAGTTCATACCCTGAGTGCACAGAGGCACACAAGTCACCAGCCTCTCTAATCCAGGTTTTTTTCCCCTCCCCTCTTCCAGGGTAACATTGTTCTAGCAGCCGAATCAGAGTTTGAGCAGGCTCAGTGGCTGGAGATGCTACAGGAGTCTGGAAAAGTGTAAGCTTCTTTGTGTTCCTTAATCTCTTTGATCTGCTCTGTAGATGTGTAAAGAATAAAGTGGGAAAAGCCTGACTAGAAGGACTATGGGCAGGCAGACAAGCTCCTCAAGACCAGAGAGACCTTTGCTTGTCTGCGGGACCCATCCTTTCCCTAAAGGAGAAAGGTGACACAAAGCTTCCCACATTGGTATGCAGTGTGGCACACAGTGTGACTCTGCTAACAACCCGGGGCTGTCATCTGCAGAAAACCTCCCTACGCTGCATATGTGTGAATCTGGGGTAAGGTAAGAGCAGACCAGGCAAGGCACAAAGCTAGCGAGCAGCTTCCCACGCGACTTTACACCCAGCTAGTGAGCCCGGACCTCACCAGCTCATCCCTGCTCTCCTGGGCAGGGCTGGTCATGCTGAGGTGTCAGTAATGGCCCCAGGCAATCGTGTGACCATGGGGTGTGCAGCCCTTCTGCACAGGTCCCAGCGCACTCAGGCCACGCAGCAGCAGAGACAGTTTAATTCAGAAATGCAGAGGCAGGTTAATCCCAGGGGAGGAGGTGTTAGCAAAGCACTCCCAGCTCACCCAGAGGGGTGGTAGAGTTTGTAGTACTGAGTTTGTAGTCTGCTGAGAATGCTGGAGAAATTTGAAGTTTGTTGGCCACCAGCTCTGCAGTCCCGCAGCACCCAGGAGCCTGATGGTAAAATAAGCAGCTGTCCTGGAAAACTAGAGCAGGCTCTTTCTAAATTTCACCAGATGCAGGAAGAGCTAACACTACAACAGGGAATTGACTTAGGTCCTAAGACAGGTAGAAACTTCCAGAGCTATAGAGCAAAACCTGTTATTCAGATATGAGACTTAAAGCAACAAGCGCTTTGCTCTGCCCTTACAGCACTCCGATAATTCCAACACTAGGAGGCCAAAAATGTTCATTTGTAATTGATGGGGAACACAGTGGATCAGCCCAAGCCAAGCTCCGTGCTGCTGCAGTGAGCCTGGCTTTGGTGTTGGAGCACCCCCAGTTAACTCCATAGCACTGTATGAACTGCAACACAACCTGACCATTAAAGCTTCATGTGAGCAGGAGCCCCATGGGACACAGACACAGGGCAGAGGTCTGTCACCCACTCGGCACAAGCAGGCTTGGCCACTGCAGAGGAGGAGGGACCCAGATTCAGCCCTTGAGTAATTCTGAGGTTTTCCTTTGGTTAGCCCAGGTCTGCACTTGCCTTCACCAATGTTAGACTTAACTATTGCCAAGGGCAATAATTTGGGTGCCAAATTAATCTGTCAAGTCTGTATGGAAGGTAAGGAGCATGGCTGCACAGCTCTGGATGGCTCTCGTAAGCAAGCCCTGTGCGGCTGCTTATTCCACAGAGCCAGCCTTTCCGCTAGTCCTTGCTCCAATATTCCAGCACTAGTGTTTAAAACAGGAGCTAGAGAGGTGGCTGCTATTGTACAGCAGAATACCGGCACCCAGCTCAAAATGTGCCTGACACCCCCTTCCCTCCCCTCTCTGCTTCTGTTCTTTCATCAGGGGAAGAGAGCGATGCAGCTCTAGTGCTGGCTTAATCAGTGCTGATGGCAGCCTGCGTGTGAGGAGAAGCACAGATTATGTGATTTATGTTAGCAGGGTCAGGGCAGGAGCCACGCAGCAGCCAGAAAGGCACAGCATGGGCCAGTAAATTGATCTGCAATTAATGGGAAAGCTAAAAGGACACAGCTGAAATCTGGGCAACCTGTTTTAGTGCCCTGTTGTTCCTAGATGGAGGTTGTAATGCTGATGGCACTGCAGCATTTCCAGTTTATTGTGATCATTTTGCAGTCTCCCTCATTATTTAAAAACAACCAAAAAAAAACCCCAAACCACCAAAAAACCTACCCTTAAAACAAAACAAAACAAACCCAAAACAAACAAACCAAAACCAAACAACTTCATG